GGCCATGTCATCAGTCAAGCAGGAGTAACTGCAGATCCTACCAGGATTGAAGCCATTTTGAATTATCCATCACCCAAGAACCAGAAGCAGTTGAGGCAGTTTTTATGGACCTGCAATTTTCATACTAGATTTATTTTAAAGTATTTAGAATATGTAGCACCACTATTGCCATTGTTGAGGAAAGGAGTTAAATGGGAATGGACAAGAGAAAGGGAGCAAGCATTTCAGGACCTAAGAAACAGTTTTGCACAAGTTTGCAATTAGCACACCCAAGAGAAGATTTGCCAAATGAAATTTATACAGATGCGAGTAAAGTAGGCATCAGCGCTATTTTAAGTCAGAGAAATGAATTTGGAGAAAATTTAATTATTTCAGCTGCATCAAGAGTTTTGACTGACATAGAAAGAAGATATTCAGTATGTGAGCAGGAACTGTTGACAGTTGTGTATGCTGTTAAGAAATTTCGAATTTATATTGTGTGTCAACCAGTAACAGTTTATTCTGACAACAAGGCGCTATCCTTTTAGAGAAAATGCAATTTAACCTCTGATCGTGTTACCAGATGGATTATGCAATTGCAAGAATATAATCTGCAAATAAAGCACATTAGTGGAACTCAGAATTTCTTTGCAGACATATTAAGTAGGAACCTTACGCACCTGCCGCCCCTTACCCCCCAGGAAGATCCCTGCTTCTCATTTCTGTCAGCGGCTCAGTCGATCCCAGTGCCATAGTGAAGCTGCACGGATTAGGTAAACTGAAAAAAACTAATGACCTCATCGGCGTTTGAACCCGCGACTTTCCGGCTTGTGAAATAGTGCTACAACCAACTACGCTACTGCGTGCCCCCTTGCTACGCGATATGTGTAGTGTATTTAACGACGTTGTTACATGGCATTTGTGGATGAGAGTGAATAATGAATTTAAATGGATCAAGAAGGAAGCTGTCTGGTTTAATTTAAGGTGCGAACCCGCTTTTTGCCTGGTAGGAGTTAGAAAAACCACGATAAATCTCAGTCGAGGTAGTCTTACCGGCCGAGATTCAAAATGAAAACCTCCTGAATCCAAGCCAGAAGTGTTACTGCTCCAGCCAGCTTGCTTGGTGCCGTGTCATAACCCAGACTACCCACTCACTCACGGAGTTGGGCCAGTTGTGCAGCAACTCAAGAACTTCCCAGCATTTTATGAAACCCGAAGGCTCAGCACCATGTTCACAAGAGCCCTTCACTGGTCCCTATCCTGAGCCACATCAATCCAATCCATACCATCCCATTCTATCTCCCTAAGATTCATTTTAATAATTTTCACCCACTTACGCCTTGGTCTTCCCAGTGATCTGTTTCCTTCTGGCTTTCCCACCAATATCCTATATGCATTCCTCTTCTCACACATTCGTGCTGAATGCCCTGTCCATCTCATTCTCTCTAATTGTACTTGGAGAAGAGTATAAGTTTTGACTGCCACAGAATGGAAATAGAATCCTTAATGCTGCGGAAGTTCAGCTTTTATGATTTGTGTGTGTACTGTCGAGAGGGTCCGTTTGTTCAATTACCTTATAATATTGTCAAGTGTTGGGTGTATGTCACGCGACAAATAACTTGACGTCGTCTTGGATATAGCGAATTTATTCCACACCCGCTCTTACACTCACACAGTTTACAATTACTCAACTACTGCCATCGTCAGTATCACAATTACTTCTCCTGCTGTAGTCACTGCCACTCACTCGATACAACCCGACTCGGCGACTGCTAGATTGAAACTTGGTTACTCTCTCTCTAGTGACGGGCTCAATCCTCACTACTCACTACCCTAGTAACTTCCACACTGACAACACAGAAAACAATTACGTGATAGCTACCACTGCTGCGTAACATCGTGCTTACAGGCGTTTCTGGGGAACGCTGCCGAGAGTTGTTTATTGCTGCGTAGTAACCGCGGTGTCCCCTGTTACGTCACAATGGGAAGTGATTTTACATCACTGCGGGAGGCGAAGGAGTGTTCACCGAGCGTTGGTTATAATGGAAGGGGTGGGGGTATGTGACGTCACTCGCGAAACCGCAGAGTTCACGTGACCCCTACTTCCCGTTGCGCCATTCACGTTACAATATCTTTCATCACTGACTCTGTAAGGCCCCCCATACACACACAGTTTGGCCTCCAGTTCGGCCTGCACAGTTGAAGACTGAAAGGCAAAACTGACATGTGTGGTGCGGCCGGCTGGCCAATCGTTTCGACTGTAGGCCTGTAGGAATCCCGTCAGTTCTACCTGCAGGACTGTAATATATGCACCTCTTAACATACATATATATTACTTTAAACATTATGTATATGATTTTGTCTGACTGTACAGACAGGAAGTTATAATTATAACAATAAGATAATGAGCTCTGGTTAAGACAAACACGCATGATGCAACACTTGTTTGTCGACTAGAGAACAAGGAACTTTGGGATCATCTGCTATGAGCATGAACTCCACGTGAAATCACAGCATGTGACTGCCAGCCAACGCCCATCCTAGCCTCTTTAAAAGACCATGATTTGGGGCGCGGAGCGGACTTCATACATTTCAGTTCATACACTGCACTAAGTCTCTGTGCACCGTCATAGGGACTTCATAAACTTCTATTCACGCAATATTCTTAAGCTCTGTACTACATTTGTATCAACATCATTTATATTAAATATATTCACTCTATCGTACTGCGAGTTCGACTTGGATTTCAATCCTTAAGTGTCCAACGTACAACGAGGAACAGTCTCCCGCTCGGCTAACCTCTCGAATCCCATCACCATCATTGGGATACAACAGGACGTAGCACGTGACAGGCGGAACGTACGTGTGTGACGATACCGGCAGGCCAGTCGCTCAGTTGCTGCTGCTGTCTCATGTTCTTCCCTACTGTTTCGCGTTGTGGTCATTTTTCGTGGTATTTTGAAACTTTGTGCTATGGCGACATGGTCGAAGGACTTTATAGTCGAGTTTATTGAACAATTTCGTGGTCATCCTTGCATTTGGAAGGTGAAGAGCAAAGAATACGAGAACCGGGAAATGAAAGAGAATGCTTATTTAGCACTGCCAGAAAAAATGAAAACAGTTGACCAAAAGCTAACAAGGAAACTGTGTTGAAAAAGATCAACAATCTACGAAGCAGTTTCAGGAAGGAACGGAAGAAAGTACTGATGGCTAAGAAATCTGGAATTAGTAGCGAAGACCTCTATGTCCCGAAATTGTGGCACTACAAAGATTTGTTCTTCCTTGTAGACCAAGAAGAGGCCTTGGACGGGGTTTCAAGTCTTGTTAGTGATACGGAGGTAAGTGGTGTAATTAATAATCAAACTTTTATTGCATGTTAACAATTACAGATTACAATGCTAAACACTAACCCTTCAGCGTTGTTTGCCGTACACCGTACGCCAAGCTGTAAGCTTAATTTCGTAGGCCCATATATGGAACGAACCAAGACAGCATGATGACGTTTGCATTGGGCTGTTGTGAAAAGAGAACGCTCTCTTTTCGTGTAGCCATAACATTCAAGATCTTCAACATACAGCAGCTCAGCCAGTCATTCAAACTATAATCGCGTGACCTCACAGTTACGATGGCCGAGTGACTATGATATCAACATACCACAAAGATGATATGCGTGTGGTTGTGAATAAAGCAAACAAACAAGAAACAAAGCCCGTGGCTGTTTGAGATTCCAACAGAAACATGCTAGGAGGGGATCTGAAGGACGAAATGCTACAGCCGTACTTGCTTGAACGAAAGAAGAGTACTAAGTGGTTTCAGAATTTATTTAAGAGGCTTCTCAATGTAGCAATACATAACGCAATGGTCATATATCGGTGTCTCCCAAATAACAAAAACATGGACACACTAAAGTTCAGATTTTCACTTGCACAAGCCCTCGTGGAAAATCACGGTTCTGGTGTTCTTCGTCCTGTATACGGCCGTCCGTCAGTTGATCCGCCGCGTAAAAGACTCACAGAACGACATATCCTGGAGCGTATTCCAGCCAAAGGAAAAGGACAAAGCCTAAAAGAAGATGCGTGGTGTGCGCAAAACATGGTAAAAGGAAAGAATCTATTTACTGGTGTAGTGAATGTGAGGCAGGGTTGTGTTTAGATGGATTGTAATGTGTAAAACGTGTTATGATGTATGTAACTTGATAATAATCGTTTAATGAAACCAATGTCAATGTAATATTGTAATATGTACTTAGACTTTTGATCATACTATATACTATTTTATTATGTAATTTTTGTGTTAGCCAAGAGGGTACTCCATGAGCGTTGAAACCGTCTGTCGCAAGCCTGATACATGTTATCAACTCCTGACCTTTTAACACTTCGATAACATGTTCCCCCAAGCTGAAGAGAAGAGAGTCAAGTTTTTTGGTTCGTCCACGCGCGATGCTGCACGTACACAACTGAACCTTTAAACTCTGTACTCATGACTCCCCCACCCTCTTTGGCCCTCTTTTTAAAGTTTAATATATAATACCAGTAAGATAAAAAACAGCAGGAGACTTCTTCGAAAATCTGTACTGTATACACACTGTATATACTATCTACATCTGTTACTTCTTTTAATAAAAAGTTAGTATAATTGTTGAGCATAGAAATTCGTCTTCAGTTAGTGGGTTCCTTACCCGCCTTACCCAGCAAGAAGATATTACATGGTGTCAGAAGTGGGATATCTTTGAAGACAACAGCTGGATTCGATTTGCAAGAAACGTTTGGTTTAAAGCTCAACAATTTGGAAGTTCACACCATCTGGACCTAGGGAGTCCTGCTTCGAGAGGTGTCCGAGAAGCCAGGAGTTACTCCAGAGTCTACGCCTAGGAGGAAGCGGTGCGCAACGCTATTCAGAGAGGAGAACTTCGCTAAGTTGGTAGCAACAAGGCTTTGGAGACGCACTACGACCCGATATCCCCAGGGAAGTCGCAGTCACGCCCATTGCAGCTGGTGCCGCGAGGTACGGCGAGAGGCAACCCCAGGGACGAGCCTCGAACCGAGAACTGCATCGCTTGGAGCTACTCTACCTTACTTTTCTGTAAAAGGTTAGTCACAACATACAGTAGGCAACTGTTTTCATCATGGCAGATGATGAAAGTTCCGATAATGAAGAGGGGGCATTCATATCGGTTATGCAAGCAATAAAACTGATACCAAGGCCTTTTGAGGGAAATCCAAAACAATTAAGAGAATTTATTGAGGGGGTAGAAGCCGCAATTGGAGTGGTTCATCCAAGTAAACAAGAGTTGTTGTTAAAATTCGTAGTCACAAAGATTCAAGTAGATGTGAAAGATAGATTGTTAGCTCGTGTCGAAAGGAACACTTGGAGACAAATTAAAGGCATTTTAGAGGAAAATTACCTAGTAAAGAGGACATTAGAATATTATACGGGCTTGTTGTTCTCTTCAAAACAAGGACCGTCAGAAACCGTAGCACAATGGGGAGCTAGGTTAGATCATTTAGCCATGGAATTACGGACAGAAGCCAGACATAGGCTCCTGGTGTTAGAGGATAAGGATAATGAACATTATGTTGAAGGGGGTTTGAAATTAATTGGAGAATTTTTGAAAGGAACTTTCATTTCGGGGTTAAGAGATGAACGAATCAGAGTTATAGTAAAAGCTAAAGGGGAGGATGATTCCTTAGCTCAGATTATTGAAACAGCGATCCAAGAGGAGAGTGAATTAAAGTCTCAGAGATATAGAAATCCCCAACAAAACCCTCAATGGTATCCAAGAAACCTTCCCGTAAAACAAGAGAGAATAGGAAGAAGTCATCCTGGTGGGAGTCAGGAACCTTCTATAAAGCGAGAAGTTATGGCCGCTTCTGCGCTTAAGAATTGCTATAATTGCTTGAAGCCAGGGCATATAGCAAGAAATTGTAATAATGCATCGCAATGTCCAAAGTGCGGCAAAAGAGGACATGTGATGGCACAGTGTTATCAGGGAAACCGGCCACGAGGTGGATCCGGCAGTCGGGGTTCACCTGCAGTGCAAGAGGCTGCATAGGAAGGGTGAACGCCCGAGAGCCATCAGATGAGAGTGGAGACACCCCCACTCAAAAGGCTGATGAAGACCTGGGTTCTTCGGAGGACACTGGGTTTGTCGCAGAGAGTAAGCGGAGGAAAAATTGTGTAGATAGTAACTCTGCGATGGGAGGTATATCATTTATGCAAAATGGTGTACGCTCTGACATGCCAATCTTCGGAGGGGACGCCCAGAGATGGCATAACCCGTTTGAGCTCTATGTAACTTGCCCCAAGTTCACAGTAGAGGCGGGAACTGGCTTAATAGATACAGGCGCGCAGATTTCCTTAGTAAGAAGGAAAAGTTTAAAGAGACTCCCAAAAGAAAATATTGTCGAGACCTCCGTGACAATGCAAGGAATAACAGGAAGCTGTAGAAGTTTAACACAGGGCATTTACTTGGAAATTAATGAAAGTAAACCATTTTTATTTTATATCGTGGATGAGCTACCACGTAATGTTGATGTCATTTTAGGACATAAATGGCTAATTGAAAATGGTTATGTGATGACTCGTAATCCTGCTTTACCTCCTTTAAGTGAGGGTATTGTGAAAATTCCAACCAGAGAAAAAGGTGTCCGATTAATAGAGAAACAAGAATTGTTACCTGGAGTTTATTGTGGTACTTCCTTAGGCGAATGCAATGGTGAATTTGTTTCCTGTTTAATAGTAAACTTAACAGCAGAACCCATTATGACCTTACCCCTACCGAAATTAATTAAACCCCCATGTAAGTTTGAAAGGCTAAGCAAGGAACAGCTTTTTTCACAACAACGTTTGGACGAGTTGAACAAAAAATTAAGGTTGACACATATAAAGGAAGGCGAAGAAAGTATTAGAGAACTTTGTGAGGAATATGTTGACATTTTTAAATTACACGGTGATAAGCTAACAGCAACCACCGCTGCTATGCATCATATCCCTACTCCGCACTTCCCAAAAGGTCGAGCCATCACGTTAAAAAACTATAGATTAGCAGAAACACACAAAGAAGAAGTAAATAAACAAGTTAAAGAAATGTTAGAAGACGGTATTATAGTTCCGAGTAAGAGTGAATGGAATTTCCCTCTTATCGTAGTACCCAAAAAGCTAGACGCGTCTGGTAAAAAGAAATGGCGCATTTGTGTTGATTTTCGTAAATTGAATGATATCACTTCAGGGGATAGTTTTCCGCTTCCTAACATTCAAGAGATTCTCGATAACATAGGAAAATCAAAATATTTTTCTGCATTAGACTGTGCATCAGGTTTTCATCAGATCCTAATCACACCTGAAGACAGGTGCAAAACTGCTTTTAGCACACCCACAGGACATTTCGAATACGTTCGGATGCCATTCGGACTAAAAGCAGCACCGGCTACGTTTCAGAGAATGATGAATTCTATTCTGAGGGAATCTATAGGAGAAAGATGTTTAGTGTATATAGATGACGTCCTCGTCACTGGTAGGACACTAGAGGAACATCATAGAAAACTGAGAGAAGTTTTTGACCAATTCAGGAAGTACCATATTAAAATAGAGCCTGATAAATGTGAGTTTTTAAAACCAGAATTAGCATATCTTGGACATGTTATCACGGCAGAAGGAGTAAAGCCAGACCCAAAGAAAATCGAGGCCGTGGTTCGATTCCCGGTTCCTGAAAAGGAAAAAGATGTAAAGGCTTTCTTAGGATTAGTAGGCTATTACAGAAAATTTGTTGAACGTTTCAGTTCTTTAGCAAAGCCTCTTACAGATATGTTGAAGAAGGGAAAAGAATGGCAATGGACCGATTTAGAACAAGAAAGTTTTGAGATCTTAAAAGAAAAGTTAATTGAGTTTCCTATTTTACAATATCCTGATTTCAGCCAACCTTTTATTTTAACCACTGATGCTAGTGGCTATGCATTAGGTGCAGTTTTAAGCCAAGGAACCCCAGGAAAGGATCGACCGGTTGCCTATGCCAGTAGGACTTTGAATGGAGCCGAATTAAATTATAGTACAGTTGAAAAAGAATGTTTAGCTATAGTCTGGGCATGTAAACATTTTAGACCGTACCTGTTAGGAAAACCCTTTCAAATTTGGACTGATCATAAAGGATTAACGTGGATATTTAATGTAAAAGACCCCAGTTCGAGGCTCTTAAGATGGCGTTTACTGCTTGAGGAATATGAGTTTGAAATCAAGTATAAACCAGGTAAACAAAATACCAATGCAGACAGTTTAAGCAGATATCCTGTCTGTACTCTTGAACAAACAGGACTGACAAAAGAGCGTAAACTGAGAATTCTGAAAGAAATGCATTCTGATTTAGTGGGAGGACATCAAGGGATTTCACGAACACTAGAAAGAATTAAGCTATATATTACATGGCCAAACATGCAGGAAGATGTTATCCAGTTCATCCGAAATTGCGAAGTGTGCCAAAGGGTAAAACAAGGTAAGGATTTAAGACTTAAATTAAGAATAACTGATACTCAACCGGAACCTTGGAAAAAGATCTACTTAGACGTAGTAGGTCCTCTACCTGCATCCGAAGAAGGTCATAAATATATCCTAACTTGTCAGGATAATTTAAGTAAGTATTTAATTGCCGTGCCATTAAGGAATCAAACTGCCGAAGAGGTTAGTGAAAATTTTCTCGAGAATGTTTTGTTAATTTATGGGCTACCTCAAAGTATAGTGACTGATCAGGGTAGCAACTTCATGTCAGATATTTTCAAGCGCCTTTGCCAACTTTTCCAGATTGAGAAATTACATACTAGCATCTATCATCCTGAGAGTAATGGCGCATTAGAAAGAACGCATAGGACGCTGATAACCTATTTAAGAAGTTATGTTGAAAAACAACCTATGTTGTGGCATCAATGGTTACCTTTTGCGTGTTTTTGTTTCAATACTACCCCACATTCAGTAACAAAATATTCTCCCTACGAGATATTGTTTGGAAGAAAGTGTAATCTTCCCGGTGAACTTAGTGAGAAGGGTACCTTGTATAATTATGACGATCTAATACATGTGATAAAACGTAGGATGCGAGAAAGTCATCACATAGCTCAACAGAATTTACAGAAATTTAAAGAGAAACAGCAGGAGAGAGTTCCTGAAAAGAATGTAGTAGCATTCCAAGTTAATGACCTAGTGCTTGTGCAAAATAAGCATAGGAGACATAAGTTAGATGCGCTATGGGAAGGGCCGTATGAGATTAAAGAAGTGCAGTTACCAAATTTAGTGATACAGCAAGTAGGAAAGAGAAAGAAACGTACCATACATGTAAATTTAGTAAAACCCTTTTGTTCACAGGAAGGACAAGATGAAAACAATTCGTCTGTGGATTGTCGGAATTAGTCTCTTCCTTTGTTGTGAGTGTTTAAAGCCTGAACTTGTAGAAGTTATAATATCTGAAATAGGTATTTATTTTGACGAAGTGGGCCAGATCTCATTCTACCCCATGACATGGAAGGTTGTAAGTTACATTGATTTGAAACCGACACGTGATCTCTGGAGAAAAGTAAAAGAGCACCAGAAACGCGTTTCGCAATACTGCCATGGGTTAGAAAGCGCTCCCTGGTACCACCTGACAGATTGTAATTCTTTTAAAGCATATGTTAACAAAAAGGTCTATTACATTGATTCTTTGAAAGACCTAGTAGCAGAATACCTGAAAACAGATGTATCTTACCGAAGGAAGCGAGGGGTTTTAGACTTTGTAGGTGAAATTTCCAAGATTCTGTTCGGAACCTTGACGCAAGCAGATGCAAGAGAGTACAATTCACACATTAATCAGTTAGAACGCGAACAACAAGAGTTTTTACATATTTCTTCCGAACAGATGACAGTAATCAAATCTACTGTTAATTCAGTGAATTTGACAATGAGACGTATAAATCAAAATGAAAAAGTTTTAAAGGACAGCTTAATCAAATTAGACAAAAAAGTAAGTAATGCCACTCTTGAATTACAACAAGAAATAGAGCAAGTGACTACGGCCAATATGCAAATTAAGACTATAGAACGAGGGTTAATGGAATGTCAGCATGGATATGAAATTTTAGTAGATGCATTGATTCATGCAGAACAAGGGACGTTTCAACCGCAATTCGTAACTGCCGAGAAGATCAAAACAGTTGTAACAGCTCAAAAGTTGCCTACTGGAGTTGACTATCCTTCATTTCCTTTTTCAGAGTTACAGCACATTATTGTACCTCATATCTATTCACACAACCAATTTCTCGTGTATGTACTTGACATACCCTTGCTCTCCTCAACACTATTCCATCTGTATAAAATACTCCCTTTTCCTACATTCAAACAAGATAATGTGTTTTCTTTTATATATTCCTCGAAAGATTATATATTTATGGATTCTCTGAAAAGACAGTATGGTAAACTATCCACTAATGAATTAACTAGATGTTTTCACCCAAATCCTATACAGAAAGTTTGTAAAGAAGAGATACCAATACTGTCGTATATACCTGGAAATGATTGTGAATCCACTCTACTTCATCCCTCATCACAAAATATTCCCCCTACCTGTGAAATTAGAGTGTTAAGACTAACGAAGACCTATTGGATACCCTTATCCTTCAGTAATCAATGGCTCTTTGTAACCCCGAAACCTGAGAAACTTTCTGTTATTTGTGATGATATCACAAAGCAGGTAGAAATAAGACAAAAAGGTAAATTGACATTACAACAACAATGTAAAGCTTATACCACTTATGTGACCTTGTATGCTATGAGTACAAATGTTGTAAATGTTTCCCAAGATTTTGTACCTACCATTCCCCTCGACTTAAATTGTTGCCTAACCTTCGAAAAAGCGAAAGAGTTTGAAGAAATACCTTTGTCAGTACCTTTAAGTAATATACTCGCATCTGCAGATGATCTCAGACTGGCCAGTCACAAGGTAAATGAGGTGGAACAGATGATTAAGGAACAGAGAATGAAAGATTATTCGCAATGGTATATTCATGTCACTTCCTGGAGTGCAATTGTGAGTTTTATTATATTATTTGTATTCTCATGTTGTTGCTGTTGTTGCTGTTGTAAAAGTTGTCGTACATGTTGGTTTAAGATTTGGGACAAATGGACCCCAAAAACTTGTTGGAAAGAAACTAGTGAACGCCTGTGTATTAACATAACAAATGTGCAAGGTAAGCAGCCGAGCATTCGCTATGGCAAAACATCACACACCTCTCCGCCTCCATCACCCTCATATTCCGCTCGTGAACCCAATACTTTGACCCCAATGATAGAAGATGGTAATGAAGAAACACGATTACAACCTCCTGCAGCATCCCTTCGTCGTCCCTTATGTCCAAACGAGAGAAACTTCCGATAATGAGAGGAAAAGTCTGGTTCAATATGAGCAAACTTTTAAGAAGAAGGGGAGTGTAATATTGTAATATGTACTTAGACTTTTGATCATACTATATACTATTTTAATGTGTAATTTTTGTGTTAGCCAAGAGGGTGCTCCGAGAGAAGTTGAAACCGTCTGTCGCAAGCCTGATACATGTTATCAACTCCTGACCTTTTAACACTTCGATAACATGTTCCCCCAAGCTGGAGAGAAGAGAGTCTAGTTTTTTGGTTCGTCCACGCGCTATGCCGCACGTACACAACTGAACCTTTAAACTCTGTACTCATGACTCCCCCCACCCTCTTTGGCCCTCTTTTTAAAGTTTAATATATAATACCAGTAAGATTAAAAACAGGAGGAGACTTCTTCAAAAACTTGTACTGTATACACACTGTATATACTATCTACATCTTTTACTTCTTTTAATAAAAACTTAGTATAATTGTTGAGCATAGAAATTCGTCTTCAATTAGTGGGTTCCTTACCCGCCTTACCCAGCAAGAAGATATTACATCAACTAATCATGTAATCATAATATAAGGAAACTCAGAATGTAGTAGTGAACAATATTATAACATTTGTGGTATCGTATAATGAAGATACTATAACTATTGCAATGTTATAAGAACAAGAGTGTACCTCGGACCGAGGGTAGCAGGAAGCCATGTGTAATCAGTATAGCCGCCAGGACAGGCGACACTCTTGAGGAAGCTTTTAGCTAAGGGTTTAAGTAACCCAAGTGTTTCTGGTCCATTACCATGAATCTGTCAAAACCCCTTCCGGGTCTTCCAATAAGGAAGCAATCTTACGTGTATTTCTGTGTAACATTTTGAATTGTATTTTGCACTTTAAAGGCATTATAGGAGGAATCTGGGGTTGAGACACAAACACAAGTTCTCTCCCACGCTCGAGCTAAGGCTCTGGGAGTTCTGTTTGTTGTAACCTTAATGCACAGCTGACCCTAATGCATTTTGGAGGGGAGATGTGAGTGCATTCCTGTGAACCAACGCCCAGTTTGGTCCTATAAGAAGGCACGTGTGAAAACACGGGATCAGATCTTCTGGTCACATTATAGAGGGCGAAGCTCTGCTTCTCTACAGTTAAACTTTATTCTTTGTACTTCCACCACGCTGGTCTGTTAGATTCAGTAAAGCGAGATCTCTTGTTGCAACCAAGAAGACTTAGT